ATATATTTACTAATTGAAATCGGCTTAAAGCCCTTTCGGCTATCAATAGTAAATAGGTAGCAACACAATACTGATAGAATTAGGTTGAAGCTAGAAAAGCTGATTGCCACGATTGAAGCTGTGACCTAAGTGTGGTATTTTGCCGATGTCTCCGTTTCTAAGTGTGTTTTACCGTTTGCTTAGTGAACCCGTATTAAAGGTCCTCTCTTGTCCTTCCCGAATCCCAATCCTAGATGCATATTGTCAGCTATTCGTCAATGTATGCCAGCTTTGCGGAAGCGAAATCGTCTCCTGGCGGTTTGGCTGTGATTGGCGTTTTCTTTCAACTGACGACTAACCAGGCTGAATCAAGTCTTTCAAAAATGGGGAACCTCTTCTCGAGCCTCGGTGGACTGTCAAATGCTGGCTCAAAAGTCAACGTGAACGCTTTCAAGCCTGACGTACTTTTGCCCCAGAACAAAGACGAGTTCTTCCGGTACCAGGGTTCGCTCACTACACCACCCTGCACAGAGAATGTTCAGTGGACGGTGATGAGGCACTCTCTGAAGGTGACCAATGAAGATGTAAGTTGTAATTACGTCTTCCAACCAGATCTGCATGTGGAGTGCTGCAAATGAAATATGAATAGGGCAAATCAAGGCGGCGATGACAAATGCGCCCTTATTTGGGCATCTGAAAAAAGAGGTTATGATGACTAATCATTTTTTGGCGATCTCCTCATGCATAGCGCTAAATGTTTTTGGGTAGAGTACTATGACGCAAAATGTCGCACTACAGGCTTATTTATAGCAAGGTAAGTTTTTAAATGTCCGAGCTACCGCCCGAAATCAATATATCGATCTGCCACCAGAATTCCAAGCTTTGCACGAATGTTACTGCTGTTTAATTAGGCCTGCTACTGTTGTTGCTTTTATTGTCACTTTTAAATCTGCCAGTTGGATCCAAGAAGACTTTGTACGCTCAGATGAGTAAACGGTAAGGATTACTTTTATGACCACCTAAACGGGGTATGGGACTACGAATTGCCTCTAATGCAGGTTGATTTCGAGAGAGTAGGTTAGGCATTAGGGTGAAAATGCGCTTTAGATTTACGGTCAGAGTCGAAGGTCTTTAATAAAGTCTCATTGGCGAGCATATATTTGCTATCGATAAATTCCCTTCAGGCCTGTACACTTAAACGGTAATAAAATAATTAAACTATGCTGGTTGTTAGAAAGACGTAGTGTTATTTTTTTTTCAGGGACGGTGGGGGTGGGGGGAACTGAGGTCAACGTTTCAGTGTCTAGGTCCGGGGTCGGCAACCTATGGCTCGCGAGCCATATATGGCTCTTTTGATGATTGCGTATGGCTCTCTCAGAAACTTCAGATTTTATGATTTTGGTTACTCTTTAGGGGTCTAGGTAGTGGGTTGTACTTGGGATCACTGCAACCATTAGGACAAATCCCAGGTTGGACGTTAAAAGACAGATGTCACCAAAAGGAGTGATTTATTGTGTAAAGAACTCCCGGTTGCTGTCCCAGATGGCAATGGCCACTGGCGAAGCCAGGACGTTCCTTGAAATGAAGGGCATTGAGCATTGTGAGCTAGCTGAAACTGAGTGGCTTCTCATGTTTTACAATCTCGTGGATATGACCGAACATCAGAACCAAGTTAACGTTAAATTGCATGGCAATGAAAATGCAGTGTTATCCCTTCAGCAATCCGTGTTTGCTTTTGAAAACAAGCTTGAACTCTGTATTTTGGATCTTAAAACAGATCGTTTACTACATTTTTTTTAAAACTTAGGCAGTATAAAGATGCATGCACAGTAATTGAGTCCACTCAAAACTTTGATCTCCACCAGCTAGTTGGATTTATATCCCATCTCCTATAATTTTTCAAAGTTTTGGCGAATTTTGAGAGCACACTCATCATTTTAAGTTCATCACCCATCCAACCGAGTGTTCACTGAACACAGTCGACCTAAGTCATATTCCTAGTCTCTCCGTTAGAGATTTCGAAGAAGAAAAATTGGCTGACCTGAAGGTCTCAGACATGTGGATGAATAAGGTCAAGTCACTCAATGAAGATTTGGAAAGAATCGCACGACATAAAGTGGAGTTGGCTAGCAATCACATGTGGACAGAAATTAAAAAATTTCAACCCGAAGACCAGCTGATACTCAAAACTTGGAACACGCTTCCGGTCACAAACCACACACTGCAGCGTGTGAGTATTGTTATCCTGACCCTGTTTGGGTCTACGTATGCCTGTGAGCAGTCATTCTCACATCTTAGATACATCAAGCACACCCTACGATCACGTCTAACGGATGAAAACCTCAACGCTTGCATGAAGCTTAACCTCACCAACTACCGACCTGAATATAAAACCATCAGCGAATCCATGTAACACCAGAAGTCACATTAACAATGAGTATTATAAGAACATCACTGAAAAGAATAAATTTCGAGGCTTATTATACTCGCATTTAATTAAGTTTCATCTTAAAATATACTATATGGCTCTTACTGAAATATATTCCCAAATAT